TGTTCCCCTGGGCCTGAGATGAGGTGGTGGCTGCCGCGCTGGCAGGTGGACGCTGAGGACAAGAGTTCCAGCCGGAGCCCAGCAGCGCCCCGCTTTTTAGTAAGCCGGGCAGTGAGGGGCCTCTGCTTTTCCAGGGCTCCTGTCTCAAGCGAGGGACAAGACGGATCTGGAGTCCACAGAGAGTTAACTACCTTGACAGACAGGGGGTGTGGGGGGTTCTTCCATGAGGAGGGAAGGGACTGGGCAGGGACAGAGCTTATTCCAGGCCCAGGAATGGGTGTCTGGGAGGTAGATCACCCCGGAGCCCACATACAAGTCGAGTTTATTCAGCAGTGACCCAGTGCAAGGATGATTATTTAATTATGGTAGTTTGGTTGGTTGTGGAAGAAGTAAGAGTGTTAGATACTTATCTTCACTTAGAGCCCAGGAGCTCCCTGACTCAGCCTTGGCTGGAAGGGGCTTGTCCCTCTCAGGATGCGTCTGGAACTGTTCTAAGGAGAGATGCAGCGCTTCCTCCGCCTGTGATGACAGCTGGGGTCCGCACTTCCTAGCAGGCTAGTGGTCCAACTGGTTTAGTTGCAGGAATGATTCACACACAGCTTCCCGATGGAGAACACAGGTGACATGTGGCACTTAGTCCTGCACCAGCAGAGCCACAGGAATGAGTAAGACCTGGAGAAAAAGAGAGGAGCAGAAATCCAAGTTTTCTTTGAAGAATGTTCCATGTAAGTATATATAAATTTCCCTATTTGTTTGGCCCTTTTTGTAATATGAATTTTTTTTATTTTTATTTTTTGGCTTGAGATGACTGTGTTTCAACAAGTATAGTGGAGTGGAATGTGTATCTAATGCCACTACAATCAATAAGGAAAAACTTTGGGCTAAGAATCTGTATTGGAACTTCAACATGATACGGAAAAGATCAACCTGAGTGCCTATGAGCTCAGTTAACTGTATATTTTCTGATATTTCCTTGATACAAAAATTGGAGTCTCCTTGTAAATTCTTTCCTTTTGACAAGACTGAATTAATTCATAGTGTAGACAGGGGTATTACTGCAAACAATTGTATTTGTTGCAAAGAAGTAATTATACTTCAGATACCTAAACAAAACTTTAGCAAAACTTTGAGGAACTCAAAACAGTATAGATTAATACAATGAGTGTGAACTTTGAAGTCAAGCAGCCCTGGGCCTGCCATCAGGCTCTGCCACTTTGCAGCCTTGTGCCCTCTTTCGGTCTATGCTTTCTCATCTGTTAAGTGGAGATTATATGTTTTTTACAGGTGCTCAGAGGAATAAATGAAAGGACCTATGTGACTAGCATCATGCCTGCCCATAGAGGGACAGGGTAAATGGTAACTGCTGGGATCATTAGTAGTGGGCACACTCCTTTAATGCACAAACACACACTGTTTTAAACAATATTGATAAGGGAATTAGCTGGGGTCATTCCTTCTTTTACTCTCTGTACATATCCAACTGTGGGCTGCAGCAGTAGATTTATGGATTGAGGCAAGTAATCACATCCTCCCAAACACATTATTTAAAATGAGATTATTTTTAACAACAACAAAATTTCCGGAAAGCTGTGGAGCTCAAAGTGAACCAGTGGTTCCATTATTATTTTAACATTAGGCTATTCTTTTTTAATTATAATCATGTGTGTAGTTTCCATTAAGAAAAATATTTGGACTTTTTGACTATGTATTGGCTAAGATGCTGGGGGGCAAAAAAAGAGAGACCTCAATAAATGTCTGTGTTGTTTAAAAATTACGTTACTGGGAAAATAATAGTAGATTTCAGGTATCTAAATACTGCCATTTCTAAGTAATGTTAACATGTTCTCGATTGAGACCTGTGTGTAGTCAGAGGTGGGCTGACTTCCAAGACACATCTGTGAGGGTGGAGATGATTTTTTTTTTTTTTGAGGTCATTTTGTCTGGCAGGTCCTATCCCCAGTGCCCAGTAGTAGTTTTACCCACAAAGTGACCCAGTGCACAGAGTAGGGATCTGGCAGAGGGGGAGCAGAGGCGAGCAAACCTCAGAGCAGTGGAAGGCTTTCATGAGCTGGTTAAATGTGCCACACTCTATAAATGCCACAGACACAGTGGAATCTGGCAGAAAGTCCTGGCCTCTGCCCCAGAAAATTCTGTTATTCTGAGCTCCTGGAGAAGGCAGAGACCTCCCCATTTCTCTCTTTTATTCCTTCCCACCTGCAGGCATGTAAGATGGCCTGTAGAACAAGTTACAACACGCAGTAGAGTCAATGGGAACAAGGTCAGAAAAGGGACCATAGGGATGCTCAGGCATTTGTTCCCAGGTCCTCGCCATGAGTGTGATCCTGTGATAAACATTCCCTTTGGTCATGGAAGGTGAGGTGCCGGAGCCGTTCCGTCCTTGCTGCTTGACACAGTCACTTCAGGGAGGAGACATCTGCACAGCAAATTCTCCATGGGACTTGGTGTATATGGCATATCCCTCTTTCTATGCTTGTTTCCCCTTCTTAACGCTTTGTGTCCTTACCCGAGTCACTGCACCAGAGAAGGGCATTGCCCTAGCTGGAAACTTTTCCCTAGTAGGGGGATTGGATGGGACTGGAAGAGACAATGATTCTGTAAAAGCCCTAAGTAGTACAGAAATATCATGTGCTGCTTATGAGGAACTCAGACTCAGACTTTCAGCAGAAAGTTTAGGACCTGTTAGGCCCACTACCCTGGGGGCCTTCCCACCAGGGAAGAGGCCTGGGTTGGGGCCCCTGCTGACTCGGCGCAAGGCAATGCTCCAGTGAGTTCCCACTAAGGAATATAATACTGGGGAATGTTTATATTAAGGGAAAATTATGGGAACCACCACAAGGAAAAAAGAAGCCTAGGACTAAGGTTGTTTCAGACTACTCCTGTGCCTTTACCATACACAGGAGTGTACAGTGAGGACGGATACAGGATAGTCATGTACAAAGGCAAACACACACGGGTCCTGGATATCCCAGGCTTCTTGGAAAGGCTGGGGAGACGGGGCCCTCATGGTGCCTGTTGGAGAAGATAAAGTCTCTGTGCGAGCAACTCAGAAAATACCATTGCAAACTCTGCAGGCAGTTCCCCTATCTGATAGCTGCAGGGACTATAACTGGAGAGACTAAGACTGGGCGCCAGACAGGCGAGTAACCACCATAGATAAAAATAATCTTGTGCAAATTGCATAACCTTTACTTATGAAAATCTGCCTTGGTTGTTGTTGCCTTATAGCTTAAGGGTGAAAGTAATGGAATGGTAACTTTAGAGTAGAAATAGCAAACTAGAGATTAACCTGTAGAATAGACAATAGAAACAGACAATAGATAAGATTAAATCAACATAGCTGAACAGTAATGAATTCTTTAGCAAAGGTCAGATAAGAAAGTTTAACCATAAAATAAGGAATTGTAAAAGGTTAAAACAGAAACCAGGACGAAGCATGATGTCATGTTGTTTAACCCGTAATAAAGTCAAATAGTATAAGTACAGTTGAAAAAAGGCAATAAAAGAGAGAGAACCTGATTGTGATGATCTGAACGCTGTCTCCGTGTCTTTCATTCTTCACCGACACCGTCCACACCTTTGGGGATCCCTGGACCGCTGGGGCTGGACCCCTGCAGTAAGGCGTTTTGGGGGGACTCATGGGGCAGTTCCCGGTGGAGACCTGTTACCCATCCCTGTCCCCTCCCCCCAGTGACCCCTAGAACAGAGTCTCTCTTTAGTAGTCAGCCTGTTGGACAAGTGAAGTGAAGCCCAGGTGACTTTAAAGCAGCTGCCAGCCTTGACTGTATCTCAGGGCCGTGGATTTGGTCACAATATCTCCACATTTACCATCTGAAGTGGGAGGATTGGTGGCCATCAGCAGGCACAGGCCAACCCTGCTTCACACAACCAGTTAATGGCACAAATCCGAGCGTGGTCTCCTGCGGGTACTGAGGTCACACTGGGCCTGTGCACTTGGTGGAACTGGATATGAATCAGCAGGTCCCCTCTCACTAGCCACCAAAGGGCTAAAAGCTGCTCTTTGCTTGCGTATGTTTACCTTTCAGACAGGAAATCTAGTCTTTAGCATAGGAAAGAAACTGAAAACGCAAAAGAAAAATAGATTTATTTGCAAAAATGAACTTGTGCTTGGAACTAAAATCCAGGGTGTGGTGGGTCTGCAGGCTGGGGCTCTGGAGCTCTGGCTGCTTCCACTTGACCCCTGCGCCTACTCAAATTCAGTTCTTTTTCCCGCTGAACTTTGGATGAAGCTAGTCATGTGCTCCCCTCCTGGATGGGGTTCCGCAGGCTATCTTCCCACCACTGACTGGCAGAGGTGGGAGACCACCGTGTAAGTCTGTGGACCACATTAAGTTCAGACCTCAGTTCTGTCCCAGGGCTATGGGGGTGACCTCGGGACCAGCTTGGCACAGAGCCCACACTGGCCTCCAGGGTGTGCTCCATGGGAGCCCAGCTCACCTTCAGTGAGTCTTTCCTGCAGTCTCAGCCACCTTCCTGGTCCTTCTGCTAGAAGTTCTGATTCCTCTCAGAATCCTGTCACCCCATGTGCTGTGTTGAAGCTTCACATAACAATGGTTTTCAGGGCTAACTGGCAAGAGAAAATGAAAAATAAAAATAAGCAGGATTCCCCCAAACTCTTTGAAGTACAGGGTCCCATTGTCCCACGTCCTCACCAAAGATGGGTTTTTACTCGGCATTTCAGGAGCTGATGCCTAGGAAGGAGCTGAAGCTTTACCTTAGGAGCAAGGCCAGGAGAGAAGAGGGATGGGTCCCAGAAAGTCCCTACTCTTGCTCCAACAGGCCCCTTATCCAGTCCTCTCTGAGTCATTCCCGTCCTGCCCATGGAACAGTCCTGAGACTCACTGCCTTCGAGACAAAACTGAGATCAAGGAGGGACAACCAGTCAGCTCACTGCCCTGCTGGTCATCAAATTCTGAGCTCTGTCCCCAGTCTGCCCCCTGTTGCTTTCTTTCCAGGGTCCAGAGTTACCTGCCTTTTCTCTTGGGTCCTGAGTTTGTGGTTGTCATCAGTGGGGGAACGGCTGGCCGTGGACCTGCTCCATCTTGGTGGCTCCAGAATGATGTCTCCTGTCATTTTGAGAAGGAGAAAGGGAAGGAAGATAGTAGGTCTGGGTAGCGGGTAGACTTTCTTTAGAAATAAGCAGACAGTGTTTTCTATCCTCATGGTCCTTTGAAGGCTGTGTTGCTGGGCATGAGCTGTTTCTATTGTATTCTCTCTGGATACTCTTTCTGAAGAAGATGACGGAGTCAGCTGCACAGATATGGGGACAAGCGGGTGGGCTGCTGTCCTGGGTTCTTAGACGCACAGTGTTCATGCTGTTCTGCATTTCTGAGCCCCTCTCACCATGTGGTTCAAGTCTGCTTAGAGGCAGGACCAGCCATGAGTGGCTCCTCCTGGGCCTTCCTAACACCACCCATCCATGTATCCTGCACACTGTTGGTTTGTGCTCACTGCCAGCTGAATGCAGAGGTCAGCAGGCCTCCAGGGCACTGGTGGAGCCGCATCCCAGAGAAGCCCTGGGTCCCTGAGTCACTGTGTGGAAAGAAGAGCAGTGGTGGCTCCCCGATCCCCATCATGGGACACAAGGAGCAAGTAGATTTCATTGGGTTCAGACCCTGAAAAGTCCATTATGACAGCTTGACCTTATTATTCTAACGACACAGTCTTTGATGGGCAATTAGAATCTCCCTGGCTTGACCAGTGAGGGTGAAATCAACACACCCCATTTTTAGGGGGTTAAACGAAGTCGAGAGAGGGAAAGTGACTCATCAGAAGTCGGGCACATTACTCACCAGAACAACTTTTTCCTTCTCATGGTCAAAGCTGGAAGGTAAATGGGAGCCATCTCTGGAAGGAGAGAGCTCCTGAAGACAGGCATTATTTTCACCATAACTTTGAGCTCCACTCTGCTGAGTACACAGAGAAAAAGTATTAATCATCCCTTAACTTTGACAGAGCCTAAGCATCCTTTCTGCAGTTGGGATCTGCAGATAATTAAAAGGTACTTGCTTCCAAGACAATGCTGCCTTCCTTCGACCTTGTCCTTGGGTAGCATCACTAGGGGCAGTGTGCCTGTGACAGCCACCAGGACCCAGCCCAAGCACCCAGAGTGAACCTGCTCTGCCCACAGGACCCTGGCCCAGCATTCAAGGAACCGCACACCAGGCCCATCCCTGTCACTTGTTAGATGTGGTTTAATGAAGCGGAGGGTCACTGTCGGGGGACTGCACTGCCCAGATTGTGATTTGTGAGACGGTTAAAACATTTGGAAGCTCCTTTAAGAAACCAGATGGTAAAGTGAAGGAGTCCTTCACCTGAGTGATGACATTAGTGGCTGAGACACAGCAGCTTTATTAAAGCAGGTGGAACCACCCTGATGGGAGGAGGAGACTGAAGTTGTGGAGGTCCAGGCTCTGGGTCCCCTGGGAAGTTCCTTATAGCCAGCTCAGACCCCAGCCAGACCTACTGGGCCAGAATCTCTGGGGCAAGGAAAGGAAATCTGCTCCTCCTTTTATTTTTTAACCTTTTTTATATATAATCATAGGTTCACATTGTTAAGAAATAATGCGCAGATGGCCCACATAATCTGACCCAGTTTCCTTCAATAATACTTTATAAAAATCTCACAACCAGGGTACAATATCATGTTTATTAATTTGCAGATATTGTACCAACTTTACATGCCCAGAATAAATCCCACTTGCTCAGGGGTGTATGATCTTTATAATGTATTGCTGGATCCAGTTTGCTAATATTTTGTTGCAGATTTTAGCATCTATGTTCATCAGGGGTCTTGGCCTGTAATTTTTTTTCTTGTAATATCTTCATCTAGTTTGGGAATTAAGATAATCCCGGCCTCATAAAGTGAGCTTGGGAGTCTTCCCTTGTCTAGAATTTTTTGGAATAGTTTGAGAAGAACGGGCATTATTTCTTCTTTGAATCTTTGGTAAAATTCACTTGTGACGCCATTAAGTCTAGCACTTTTGTTTGTTGGAAGTTTTTTGTTGTTGTTAATTCTCACCAAGGGACATTTTTTCCATTGATTTTTTTAGAGAGAGTGGAAGGGAGGAAGGGAACAGGAGGGAACGAGAGACAGAGAAAGCGAAAGAGAGAGAGAGACATTGATGTGAGATTCCCTGTGTGGGTCAATGCTCTAAACACAGCAACACCAGCCAGGGCTTCATTGATCTCTTGTATTTTTTTTTAGACTCTATTTCATTTATTTCTGCCCTGATCTTTATTATTTCCTCTCTTCTAGTCACTTTGAGCTTTGTTTTTCTTTTCCTAGTTCTCCTAAGTATAACGTTAGATTATTTATTTGAGATTTTTCTTGTTTCTGGAGGTAGTCCTGTAATGTCTATCTCTCCATTTATGTACATCAAGATTTGCTTTATACATTTAGGCACTCCTATGTTGGGTGCATAATTGTCTACAGGGGTTATATCCTCTTGTTAGGTTGCTCCCTTTACCATGATATAGTGTCCTTCTTTGTCTCTTAATATAGCCTTTGTTTTAAAGTCTATTTTGTCAGATATAGGTATTGCTACCCCGGCTTCTTTTTCATTCTCCTTTGCATGAAATATCTTTTTCCATCCCTTTGCTTTTAGTCTGTATGTCTTTCATTCTGAGGTGGGTCTCTTGTTGACAGCATACATGTGGGTCTTATTTTCTTCTCCATTCAGACTCCGTGTCTTTTGATTGGAGCATTTAAGCCATTTACATTTAAAGTGAAAAACCATCATTTGATCAACTAAAAACTTGTCTCTGGCTAATTGGGCTTTAACAGGAAAAAGCTTTTATAACCTGAATCCCTCACCCTCTCACCACAGGTAATCCTGACTCCTCTCAATTTTGTCCTGCTAATTCCAAGAGCTTTTATTTTTCCACCCTTTAGGTGCTGCTTGCTTCAGAACCAGGAAACAAACACTGTTACACCCACAGAGTCAGAAGAAGAATAAAAATAGGACATTATAACAACAGGTTTCTGATCAAGGCCCAGCATATGGAGACGATTCAATAAATATCATTGAGCAAAGAAAAGTCGTGGGGACTGAAACACAAAAGGTAACTAATAAACTTGGAGTAAGGATGCAGGCATGGGATGGAAGGGAGGAGTGAGCTCTTTTATGTACCTACAATTTGAAATGTAGTACTTTTAGGCCTTTTATGTGACACGTTAGAATCTGTAGTGCTTAGACAGGCCCAGCTGCTTTCATATAGTCACTCCAAGGGGAGCAGCTCTGAAACAGCCCGAAGCCAAGCTCTGGTTACTCAGTGCCTTTATTAACCTTATGAATTTCATTCTTTTAAAATTACATACTGTAGAAAATTTTCTTTCAATGTAAAACTATGCATCATCTAAAGCATACCTTCTGGATTATCAGATTCTAGCCCTGTTTATTATCATTGTCTTTGAGCTATTTCGCAGCTCTTTATAAATTGGAGGCAATGTATATGTGCCTGTCTAGTCATGATTTGACTTCCTCCCATCCCATCCTCACGCTGGCCCTGGA